CTAGGGCGGCATTTGTTAAAATCAAAGTTATGGCCATTTTGGTCCTCTGTGTTATCAGTGAGTTTAACGGGTTATCCTAACATAGGTCTCTCTCAAGTTTGCTTTTTCGCTTCTTGTGTTCTTACTTTTTATACATTTGTAAAATTCCTTCAAGCGTTAAAATGTATTCCTTTTCAAAATGCTGAATTGGATTTCTTCGAAAACTTTCCTACCCCAGCTATAGGTTAAAATAAGGCATTGTATCTTCATTGGTTGATTAGTTGATTCTGTTTAGCGGCATATCAGCATCTTACACATATATTTATACTTTCAGAGTTTGTTTTTTAGATATATATTTTGTAGATCATAAAATGTATTATTGGTAATTTTACTATACAAATGTATTATCATATATTTCATTATTGATTTGATTGTCATTTGGCTATAAAAATTTACTGTTGATTTTTGTTTGGGGCGCTCACTCTTTGCCCATATCTGGGACCCTAACAGGTGCTACCACCCATGGATTGGGTGAATTTGGGAAACAACAGTTAAGAGGTAGTTCGATACTCCTCAAAACCTCTAATCCCCAGTCAGGAGGAGCTTGTACCTTGAAAAATCATTGTTATATATCCAAAGGAATTTTAATGCAACATTCACTCGCGAAATGATAGACTTATTCATATAATACAAAATCGGTCTCAGTTTTAAAATAACTCACAAAAGATTCATACGCGGTAAACAAAACGCGACAGTCAATCATTAGAACTTGCTTCATTTCACCTCCACAGTTGTTTAACAAACTATGTGTGAACAGTCGGACAATCATGGTGTAGGTAGCGACGAGGGAACTCGACCTGAATAAATTGCAAAAGTGCACTTTGAACTGTGGCCTGCGAAAAAAAAAAAACCTGTTCGTGTTTCTTTCTTTAGATCTTGGCGAAGGTGATTTATTTTGGTTTGATGATCGATTCTCAAAAGAACTCAAAAGAGTCGATTATTTTAACGTAAAAAATTTCAGTTGAACATGAAATAAAGCAAGAGAAAAATAGACTTTGGCGATTTTTTTTGCTTGTGAATCCAGTTCTCGATTTTTCTGGATTTTTTTTATTTATTTATTATATATATATATATATATATATATATATATATATATATATATATATATATTTTAGAAGTTTGCAAAGTTAACCTGTGGTCAGTCAACATCATTAAACACGCGTGTTCGTTTGAATATCGTTGTTCTGGAAGATTGATGAGCTGAAAAAGAGCCATCGAGCAAAGGGGAAAATGATTTGAGAAGCGCTGAACATAGTCGGATGGACTTTGAAAACAACTGAAGCTCCGATCAGTTGTGATTGATTTCAATATTGATTTGATTTGTGTCCAAGTTAATCGCTTTTTTTTATTTTGGCAATATCTCTAAATATTTTAAAGAATTTTAGTAAAAATCACAAATCATAACGAAATCAAAAGCTAAAAATCGCTTTAAGCGACGGCCATTAGATGGTAAATTGCCTTGTAGTTGTTATTTTCTCGGAGCTACAAATAAAACGCTGCAAAATCAACAAAAATAATGCAACGAAACAGGAGCAGAACGTTTTCCACATCGGAATAGATTAAATTTGAGATCTTTCGAAGAAGTTAAACTAAACACCTTCAGAAAGAATAAATTTCAACAATGTAAATTTATTTACATTTATACATTTTTTAATCATTTCATTCACAAGGAAGGCAATAAAGCCACTAAGACGTAAGGGGGGTTACTGAGTGTTAGAAAATATGGGACAAATATACTAAGAAGAGAAGACAATAAAAGGGCAATAATTAAGAAGACAGAAGGAAACGATTAACACTGTATTTAAATCTATGAAGACTAAAATAAACTGGCAAGAAGAGAGTTCCACAAGCGAAAAGAGCGATAGAAGAAACTCTTAGGATAGAACTTACGGTTACATCTAGACATTTCAACTGTAATATGATGAGACCTAGCAGCCAATCTAGTACTGTCCTTAAATTCATAAAGTTTAGGTATCATCGCGGAAAGTACATCCGAACAGTTACCATGAATATCTTCATAGAAAAGGCCCAGGGAAACTACATTACGGTGCTGGGAGAGTGACTGGAGCTGAAATGTCAGGTCAGGATCCATATAATTCCAGACTCCTCTTTTTATTTTTCGAGAATCTTTAAATATATAGCAGTAGCACCAAACTAGTTCTAGAGGCAATGTTAAAAACAAGGACGAAATGAATGGTAGATTTATAAATATGTAAGATAGATTTTTCGTGAGAAAAATAGTCTAGGTTGACACAGTGAACCAACTTTCTTTGCACCAGACATAGCAATTGATTCAATATAAACTTTCATCTTCATATCAGCAGAGAGACGTTTGTCTGAGAATTAGTATTGAAATGGGGTAAGCATTGAAATATTTAGAATTAGTATGGAAATAAGGTAAGCATTGAAATATTTAGAATTAGTATGGAAATAAGGTAAGCATTGAAATATTTAGAATTAGTATGGAAATAAGGTAAGCAATGAAATATTTAGAATTAGTATGGAAATAAGGTAAGCATTGAAATATTTAGAATTAGTATGGAAATAAGGTAAGCATTGAAATATTTAGAATTAGTATGGAAATAAGGTAAGCATTGAAATATTTAGAATTAGTATGGAAATAAGGTAAGCAATGAAATATTTAGAATTAGTATGGAAATAAGGTAAGCAATGAAATATTTAGAATTAGTATGGAAATAAGGTAAGCATTGACATATTTAGAATTAGTATGGAAATGGGGTAAACATTGAAATATTTAGAATTAGTATGGAAATGGGGTAAGCAGTGAAATATTTAGAATTAGTATGGAAATGCGGTAAGCATTGAAATATGTAGAAGTAGATTTTCATTTAAATCAAAAGAGACTATGTACACATAGCATGAGAAAAATAAAGGTTCATTGTTTTAATCCTAAATGTACATCGTAAAGTATCTGTTCCAAATCCAGATAGGCGTTTCGGAGTAGGGTATTGTCGAGTCAATTAATCTGGTTGACGATGGCAGTTAAGCTCGGTCTTTTATGGCCGCTTCATTATTAAATCCACAGACCAAACTCGTCCGCAGCATAGTTAATATTTTCAAGCAATTCTCTGTGTGGTGTTTGAACTACGCTGATTGACTAGCAATTGGAATGATGATGAGAAAATTAACAGTTTCCTTATAAAGAAACATCCGGTAGTAATTGAACGAGCAGCTTGTGCTACTGCCGGTTGTAATTTAAAAAAAAACAAAAAACAAAAAAAAAAACAAGTTTCTCTTAAAACAACTTTTCAGGAAAATACTTTTTTTTAGTCCAGTAGCTGTTATCGCTCTTTCCAGTATTGATGTGGATTTCTTTCCTAACATTCTATTTAAAATTTTAATCTCTCTGCAAAAGAAATATGTGTTACTCCCCTTGAACCATGAAAGCAATGATAAGGGCTAGTATAATATATTAATATATATTTTTAACCTCACATAATCTGGCAATCCTGAATCTGAGCTCAAAGAAAATCGTTCCCTGCGTCTAACCTAAACTAACTAGGATCCACATTGGTTAACGAGGTGAAGGTACGGGATATGGCCGTAAACAGGAGCAACAGAATGAGCCAAATATGTTCATAATTTGCTTAGAAAAGGGTCCGGAGGGAATATGAAACGCAACAGACGTTTAAATAATAATAATAATAAGAATAATAATAATAATAATAATAATAATAATAATGAACACCACCCAGACCAGGTTACGAAGATAGAACCTGTTACAATTCTATGGGACTACACAATACACACTGACAGAACAATCAAGGCCAACCGCCCAGACATTGTTATTAGAGACCAGAAACAAAAAAGTGCCTACTTATTGATATGGCAGACTGCAATGTATCTTTGAAGATATTCAAAAAGCTGTCAAATTACAAGGACCTTGAAATAGAAATCTCAAAAATGTGGCACATGGGAACATCAACAATCTCTGTTTTAGTTGGAGACCTAGGATTGGTTGGAAAAGATTCCAGTAGACTAATTGAAGGGATTCCTGGAAGTCCATGCCTCAAAGAGATAGAAAAAATTGTTCTGACAAGTAAAGCCCACACTTTACGAAGGGCTTTATCTATGTAATTTTTTTTTTTTTTTGTTAGTGGAAAGTATCATGACGCCATTTCTAACCTAAGGTCCGTGGGCGGGACCCGGAAAGAAATGAGTAAACGCCAGAAATCAATAATAATAATAATAATAATAATAATACCTCCCCTACAAATAGTAAAACGCCAAAACCTCTTCATTAATAAAGAAGCTGCACTCCTCAAGAATCAGCATAATATACCTGAAATCACACCAGCAAAAAAAAAGGAAGCGTATACCATTCAAGCCAAACGAATAAAACAGAAAGAAAAACGACTTGTTCAAACTGTGAGGAGGTGGCGTTGAATGGCAAATACCTAAAAAGAACGAAAGAAGCAGATGTGAACCAACAGAAAACACATCAGTGGCTAAAGAGCACTGGGTTGAAAACTGAGACAGAAGGCCAAATTATTGCTGCTCAGGACCAAAGTCTCGCAACCAGACCTTATCATTGTCACATAATCAAGGATGAAGATAATCCGAAATGCAGGATCTGCGGAAAATTTGATGAAACCATATTATCTCAGGATGCCTGGAACTAACAAAAAAAGAGAAACACCTCCATGAAAATTATCGAGCAATTTTTCAAATACAAGGACCTGGAAATCGAGATTAATAGGATGTGGGTAATGAAGATTATGACTATAACAATAGTAATCGGAGCTCTGGGCCTTGTGAGAAAAGCATTAAACTATTTTACTGTCCTAGGTAACATCAACAAACAAGTTGACCAAAAAAAGGCCTTATTAGGAACATCCTATATACTAAGAAAAGTGCTATCAATTAAATGACAAGGACCATATTCTGAAAACCACTTTATTCTGTTTAATGTTCGATATTTTGGTAACACATATTCCATTCTAAGACCGCAACAGATAGATAGATAGATAGATAGATAGATAGATAGATAGATAGATATGAGCAGATATAGATATTAAGGGTCTGAGATAGAGAGATAAGAACAGATTTAGATGAATCTGAACAGGTTGATAGATAGATAGATAGATAGATAGATAGATAGATAGATAGATAGAAATAGACTGAGAGATATATTAACAGACGGAATTAGCTTACTAGGTAGATATGAACAGAATCAGATAGATAGATAGATAGATAGATAGATAGATAGATAGATAGATAGATAGATAGAAATAGACTGAGAGATATATTAACAGACGGAATTAGCTTACTAGGTAGATATGAACAGAATCAGATAGATAGATAGATAGATAGATAGATAGATAGATAGAAATAGACTGAGAGATATATTAACAGACGGAATTAGCTTACTAGGTAGATATGAACAGAATCAGATAGATAGATAGATAGATAGATAGATAGATAGATAGATAGATAGATAGATAGATAGATATGAGCAGATATAGATATTAAGTTTCTGAGATAGAGAGATAAGAACAGATTTAGATCAATCTGAACAGGTTGAAAGAAAGAAAGAAAGAAAGAAAGAAAGAAAGAAAGAAAGAAAGAAAGAAAGAAAGAAACAGATATAGCAAGCGCAGTTAGCTTACGGGATAGATATGAACAGAACGAGATAGACAGACTAAAAGATAGATAAATTAAAATAAGACTGAAATAATAGATAGATAGATAGATAGATAGATAGATAGATAGATAGATATGAGCAGATATACACATGAAGAGAGTGAGAGAGATGTGAATAAATTCTGATATATTTGAACAGATAGATAGATATCAGTAGAATGGAATAGAAAGAAAGAAAGAAAGAAAGAAAGAAGGAAGGAAACATACATACATACATACTGCGTGTTTGTGTATAGATTAAACTGCAAGGCTGTGCCGAAATTTAACTCGGGATCGAGCCCAGCTTTTGATCTCAGGTTTGAGAGTTTCATGTGTCGTCATATATGAAGAATTTTAAGAATCTTTCTCCAAAATATTGTTGCGTTATGACAATAGAAGTATTGTATAATTGATAAAGGCAAGAGGCTTAATAAAAACGAAGAGCCCACTTCGAATAATCTTTTTCAGTTTGCGATAGATGAATTTTTGGAATTGGTAATTCTGAATTTAATTTTGAATATTCCCAGTACCTTTTAAAAAGAAATATGAGATGTCCGTAATTGCTGAGACAGTTGGTTAATATTTGAATTCCTACATTTTTTGTTAAATCATTTCATCTCAAGCAATGCAATATAGCAACTAAGACTCAAGGGGTTACTGAGTGTGAAAGAATCTTAGAAAAATTAATATTAAAGCGAGTGACCAATAAGAGAACATTACATTTTTGAAGATCCAATTTGACCGGAAAACAAGAAGGCAGGAGAAAGTTCAAAAGGTGAGAAGTGCCAAAGAAGAAACTGTTAAAATAGAACTTACGGTTACATTTAGAAATATCAATCAATGTAAAACGATATCATATTGAATCTAATAATGTCAACTCTAGATCAATGGGACCTAACTGCCACTCTAGTACTACGCTTAAATTCGGAAGTCGAGCTAACAAAGAGGAAAGTTTATCAGAACAATTACTATGGGAATATTTATAGAAAAGACACAGGGTAGCTACGTTACGGCGGTGGGAAAGGGATTGAAGCCGAAATGCCAGGTCAAGACCGATAAAGTATTAGATTCTTCTTTGGATTTTATCAAGAATCCGTAAATTCACAGCAAAAGCAACGGAGCAGACGTGAGATCAATATACAATGCATGTAACATATCACTGTAGGACATTTTGTAGAGAATCATACTTTCAGGTTTCTGGAAGTTTTTCAGGTTCTAGCCATATTGCTCTCAGACTTCAAAGTTTAACATATTTATATCCAACAAAAAAAAAATTCTGATATAAAACAAAAAAAATAAAATAAAATAAAATAAAGAAATAAATAAAAAAACTTTGATGAATGAATTCAGTTCCCAATGAAAAACTTCAGCGTGTTTTTATCTTTTTTCAATTTCAATAATTAATTCCATTTTTCGTCGACTTTTAAGATGCAGGTGTATAAGGTGTAAAAAATGCATTTGCCGAGAATTTTCCTGCTTTTTGAACTTTCGTAAAAAAATGAAAAGAAACGGTATGGTACATTATACGTAGCAATTTTCTAAGCGGGGTTTAGATGTGGCACAAGGTCGAAAGTGTGGAGTGTCCATTAATGATCGAACTCACTACTAATGTCGTAATTGATCTAGACTGACAAGCTTCTCAACCATTACACCGCGTCGAAGTGACTAAATGATTTTCCAAGCGTAGCATACATGTGGCACAAGGCTTAAATGGTGGAGCACCCAGTGAGATTCGAACTTACTACTCAGTCGTAATTGATCTAGCGAGACAAGCTTACTAACCGTTACGCCACGTCGAAATGCCCAAATGATTTTCTAAGGGTAGCTTAGATGTGACACAACGCCGAATGTGTGCCGCGCTCGGTGAGAATCGAATTCACTTTTCAGTCGTAATTAATCTAGCGAGACAAACTTGTTAACCATTTCACCAGGTCGAAGTGTTGTAATGATATTCTAAACTTAGGTTAGATGGGGCACAAGGCCGAATGTGTGGAGCACCCAGGGATGATCATGCTCAATACTCTATCGTAATTGATCTCGCAAGACAAGCTTGTTAATCATTACATCACGCGGTAGTGCCCTACTTTATACGTTGTGCATCCTCTTTTGAGTCAGTTTCACTGAGCAGGGGTTCGTGGAAGAAGCTGTCCGAGTGGTACTTATTTCTAACCAATGTTTATATATATATATATATATATATATATATATATATATATATATATATATATATATATATATATTAAAGCATGTTTCATTAAATGATATAGACAAGTTGTCTATTTATTTTAAGTTCCTTTCATATTGTCTCATAAGCTTAACATTATCATTGAAAGACGAAAGGAAATCACCAGATTGATACATGTTTTAATCCAATCTAAGTTTTTGGCTTACATAAGCCATTATCAAAGATGACAATTACTTTTCAATATATCAACCAATATACGGACGAAAAATAATGATAGTCTGTTTTAGTTCCATTAAAAATTTCAAAGCAACGACTAATTCGTGTATACGAGACGCGGAAGCGAAAATCGCGTCGCAGCTCGTGACGTCACACATGACCACGCAAGAGTGAAAACGAGAAGCATTAAGTATGGGAAGCCGAAAGCTTAGATTGGATTTAAGCTTTAAATATGGTGATTTCCTTTCGCCTTTCAATGATAATGTTATTAAGTTTATCAGACAATATGAAAAGAACTTACTTAAAATAGATAGACAAAACTTGTCTATATTATTTAATGAAACATGCATTAACAAAAAATTGCTGCTTATATATATATATATATATATATATATATATATATGGTGTATCAAAATACTTTAACAAACTTTGGGTGTAGGTTCCAATGCAGTATTGAAAAATTGCTGCCTAAATACATAAAATCTCTCTCTCTCTCTCTCTCTCTCTCTCTCTCTCTATATATATATATATATATATATATATATATATATATATATATATATATATATATATGTGTGTGTGTGTGTGTGTGTGTGTACAAGTATATGATTGGTATATACAGAATAAATTCAATAACCAACAATTACTATTCTTAAAAGAGTGCTCAACACAGAGTAGGGCAGATATAATTATTTATTTAAAAATTATAACATAAATATGTTATAAAATCACTACAAACATAGCCATTTTGTTTCAACACTTCCGGGTCTTATCAAGTGATGATGTTGAATGTAAAATAAATCGTTTTTAAAAGTTTCAAATTAATTAACGATCCTTAGCCAGGGGAAAACGCTGTTACATAAGCTAGAATGATCAATCAAAAAAAAAGTATACGGGAATTCAAACAACTTGGCAACGAAGTAAGGTTATGTATTATAATCTGAGTGTGTTTGTATTGTTTTACGCGAAAGGTTATCACCCCACTCACACACTTGCGATTAAAATATATACATTTTGTTGGGAAGACCAGCTGATATTACCGTCTATTCTAACGTAATTTCAATGAAGAAATAAATTGAATAACATATGTATTTTTCTTTTCTCCTCAGTAATTTTATAATTTTAAACTTAATAGAGATTAAATTTAGATTTTAAAATTGCTAATTTTTTACTTTTAATTTTAATATCAAATTTTATCATATAATTCAATACTTATTGGTTAGAATAAATTCTTTTTTAGTATAACCCTAACTTTAAAGCTCTTAATAGCTATTATAACCTTACTTCGTTGTCAAGTTTTTTAGATGATGTGAAATATCCACTCCAAGATACAATCAAAAATGACTTATTACCATAATTTGTGTTGCCACGTATCTTGGCTCAGCAAAGCGACGATAAATAGCAGCTATGTTCGGTCTAGAAACACAATCTGATGCATCTCTGGAGCCATGGGCATATTACCATTCACGCGGCCGTGTGTAAATATCATATCTGCTTGGTCCAGATAGGAATATCCAGCCATTGTTAAACGGAAAGCTTTTCAGTTAACTCAGTACTAGACGCGTTAAACGTTGAAAACAGACTAGCCACAAATGTACACGAATGACAAATGTAACCTAGTCTACACAGCGCCATCTACCATAAGCTTTCTTTAAACTTAATAACTAAAAAACAAAAGATTTGCTGACTTTCCACACTTTATTAAAGTTATAGCTAGAACCCTGTTGATATTAGAAAGACCAATAACAGTTAGTGTACATGAAAAGTTGGGCATCTCCTGGTGGTGTAATGGTTAGCAAGCTTGTCTTGCTAGAATAATTGAGACTGAGTTGTGAGTTCGATCCTCACTGGGTGCACTCCGCCTTTCGGTTTTGTGCCATGTGTAAGCTACGCTTGGAAAATCGCTAGTGTGTGAATTCCTCTCGGGGAGTTTGTAACACATCTATTTATCATCTCTCAGTTGCGTTTTTGTCTTTGGGCAGAGTGCACCCAGGGACGACTCCGTCAAAGAACAGAGTTGAAACTGAGAAAAAATATACTGAGACGTACCCAGGTGGCCTCTCATTGCACCAGAGAGAGAGAGAGATGTGCTCGCACAGAGGTCAGCGCAACCGAAAGTTGCGGGGGCTGCGGGCAATTTTTGTTCCTGGTCCGGGTGTACGCGCTCGGGCTCCCCAATTTAAAAAAAAAGATCTTGTGCCACAACTCGTCTTTGATAGAGAGACAGAGTAAAAACCTAGTGTACATGAAAAGTTTATTTTCCTAAAAAAACTGTTTTAAGAGAAAGATCTTTGAAATTTCTCCCCAACTTGTCGTACTGAATAACCTACTTCAATATGAAAACCTTACTAAGCATGGAAAATTCATCACAGACCGTGAAGTACGAACTTTATGGCAATTATTTAGAATTTGTAATAATTAGAAGAGAATTTAGAGTGCCTAGTACCACTGAAACCGAAGCTTATTGCAAACTGAAATCCTGACGGCTTCATCATAAACCAGGATGGAGCACTAATTTGAAATTAGATATATATACATTTGGATACAAAAATAAGCTTAAATTTGATTTATGTGTTCGTTAAAACATACGGTAGTCCTCACCGTACTGTTGGATTTTTATACCGGTATAAATAGGTTGAAATCCTCATTACCGATAATCTTGATACGTTTATCCCAACTGTATAAGTAGCTTATATCAAAACGTTTTTTATTTAATCTTGAAATAGTTTTTTTTTTTTAATTTAAAGATCTCAGAATAGGATGTGACTGTGGAGCCTGATACTAACTCCACATCTAAAACTCTTGTCACTGACCTTAGATTTAAAGGACACAGTGTGATTTTGGGAGTTATTTTTTAGAAGCAATGTATAATTTATTTTCCGAATGTTTTTATTTTATTAAAATTTTATAGATTTTCAATCCTACCTATAATTAATATCAATTTTTAAAAGACCTATAATAAATACCACATTTTTTTTTTTTTTACATTAAATAGAAAATTTTACTGTGGGCATTAAATAGGTTTAAGCCGAGAAAGATTCGGCAAAAGGTATTTATAGTGACTCGGCTTAATTCCAAAATGTTAATATAAATCTCTTATTTCTCATTACACAATTTCGTTTTCCGTTTTCACTACAGCTTTTTTCGTTTTGCGTTTTCTTTGATCGACACAAGCCGTTTTTTTCTTATAACCCTTTGCTACTTCCACTTCTCTGTATTGAATGTGTTTCCAAAAATAAATCATTTTCTTTTTTCTGCTTTCATTTACTCTTCTCTATTCAAATAAAATGTCTTAGTAATTAAAATCTTCGTTTGTGTCTGTGTGTGTTTTTTTATTTTATTTTTTTTAATTTTAGAACTGGTTAGGAAGATCCACTGATTAATAAAGACTTTCTTTTCCCAAAATATAAAAAAAGCCAACTCAAAAGTAAGTAACAAAAATCAATACAGATCTTTAAAAATCGTCTTTGAAATTACGATGTTATCCGTTTCTAAAGAATAGGCTGGTTCTAAAGATTGTAGATATTTCTTTACATCCAATATTGCTTTTATTTCACGAAAATAAAATTGGACATTGAATTAGAATTGAGTATAGTATATGGTAATCGTAATGTATATATCTATATATACAGGAGAGGTGGAAAGAAATTCAATATTTAAAATTGTTTAAAACTTTACGAATTATTTGTCGAACTTCATAAAACATGGTTTATTTTTAATAGTATAATGTTAGAAGTACATTACAGTCTGAAAATTCTACATAGGCACCAGCGTTGTTTATCAGGGTTTGTATTCGTCTGGGTATATCCTCGACTGAGATAATCATTTCCTGTAACATTTTCACATTTTATTCACAACATGAATTTTTGAATATAAAAACGAACACTTTTACGGGTATCTACCCAAGAAGCCGTACACATCAGTATTGGAATGACAATATTTGATGGTTTTAGCATTTACTGAGGCTGTATATATATATATATATATATATATATATATATATATATATATATATATATATATATATATATATATATATATATTAAGACATTTTATGTTTATACGTTCTTTTTATAGATAGAATATTTTAAGTAAATACTCTACTTATAATAAAACAGTATTTAACGGCCTGAATATCTGAGAGATTCTCATAGAAAATATGACTCTGTTAGGGTCCTAGCTATGGGCAAATAGTAAAACCAAAAAACAACATTATAACAAAATGATCAACAATGCATTTTATAACAAAATGATCAAAAATACATTTTAAAGCAAAATTAGTAACAATATATTTTACAGCAAAATCAGCAACAATACGATTTATTGCTAAATGATCAACAATACATTTTATAGCAAAATGCCCAACATTACATTTTATAGCGAAAAGACAAACATTACATTTTATAGCAAAATGCCCAACATTACATTTTATAGCAAAATGAAAAACAATACATTTTATAGCAAAATCACAAACAATACATTTTATAGCAAAATTATCAACAATACATTTTATAGCAAAATGTGGAACAATATATTTTACAGCAAAATAAACAACAATACAATTTATTGGTAAATGATCAATAATATATTTTATAGAAAAATGACCAACAATATATTTTATAGCAAAATGCCCAACATTACATTTTATAGCAAAATGACCAACAATACATTTTCTAGCAAAATGGCGAACAATACATTTTATAGCCAAGTGGCCAACAATACATTTTATAGCAAAATGGTCAACAATACATTTTATAGCAAAATGACAAACAATACATTTTATAGCAAAATGGGTAACATTACATTTTATAGCAAAATAACAAACAATACATTTCATAGCAAAATGACCAACAATACATTTTATAGCAAAATGGCCAACAATACATTTTATAGCAAAATGGGCAATAATACATTTTATAGCAAAATGGGCAACAATACATTTTATAGCAAAATGACAAACAATACATTTTCTAGCAAAATGGCGAACAATACATTTTATAGCAAAATGGCCAACAATACATTTTATAACAAAATGGGCAATAATACATTTTATAGCAAAATGACAAACAATACATTTTTAGCAAAATGACAAACAATACATTTTATAGCAAAATGACCAACAATACATTTCGTAGCAAAATAAGCAAAAATACAATTTATTGCTAAATGACAAACAATACATTTTATAGCAAATGACCAACAATATATTTTATAGCAAAATGACAAACAATATATTTATAGCAAAATGACAAACAATACATTTTATAGCAAAATGACAAACAATACATTTTATAGCAAAATGACAAACAATACATTTTATAGCAAAATGACAAACAATACATTCTATTGCAAAAATGCCGACAATATGTTTCATGGCAAAATAAGCGACAATACATTTTATAGTAAAATCAACAACAATGCTCATCTATTATTTTATCCAATATTTCAAAAACATTTTTCTAAAATGAAAGAAAATCGGATTCAATATCAATATAAATGTTGTAAATAGCGGATTTTGCAACGACCCACCCGTGGGTCGTCAATGACAAATAATACCTATGATATCCTTGCCTCATATATGAAGTGAATATAACAAACAGTATGTGGATTAGAACCTGGCTCTCCGCACATCCAAGATTACAACACCTGGTATTCCCAAGCGGTCACCTATCTAGATACTGACCAGGCTCAATGCTGCTTAACTTCGGTGATTGTATCGGAACTGCTGTTTCAATATATATAAAACAATTTTGAAGCCGTCTGTACCGAAATTAATTAAGATATAGAGTTAGGCTCCTCGGATAACAGTAGAAATGAGACTTGGGAGACAACGTCTTAAAAAACTGATTTTACCTCATCCTTTCTTTTTTTTTACCTCCTTTCCTGGAGTTCACGAATTTCTTTATTAATTACCCACTCTTCTTCCTTCTTTTATTCAAATTTTCTTCGAGACAGGACATACTTTCTTCAATTTGTTTTCTTTTAATTCTTCCCTTCTGTTTGCCATTTCTGTATTCTGGTTTTACAGTCTTTGTGACTCATGTTATTCCTTTTTTCTTTCTTCTCTTGTTTCGTTCTGGAATTTCTTCCCTTTTTTTCTTTCTTAATTATTCCTCCTTTTAATTCCAGCTCTTCCGCTTTCCTTTCTTCAACTTTCAACTTCCCGTTCCTTTAGAGTTCTTAAATTCTCTCCTTAAATTTTTAAAACCCGCTCTTTCTTAAAATTTAACATTCTTACTTCGAGTCTTACCACCACGTCACATTATAAACACTGGTACGATTATCGAATTTAAGCTAGACCGGGTCTGGTCAGTGCCTAGATGGGTGACAAGTTAGGAATACCACGAGCTTGATGTAATAAATAATTTCTCGGAATTGTTTACCTGAGTGTCGAATTCCAATTCCAGTTGTGTACGTTATATTCATTTACTCGCAAATACCCCTGCGAACGCTATTAACCCACCTTTTCTCCCTCTAGCAATGTGTTCATTAGTAATATTTCTCATTAGATCATTTTTATCTCGAAAAAAGAAATTCTTATAATCTAATTATATTTTCTGGTTTTAAATAAGCCACAAAGGGTTGATAAACAGTAGAAAAATAAATAATGAATAGTATTTATGAAATAGTATTTAAAAATAAGTCCAGCGACCGCCTTTTGGAAGTTTGGTGCTGTGCAAAAAAAAAGAAAACGGAAACTTTTGCACACATATTTTCCATACGGGAAGATTTGAAAAAAAGAGTCGAATTCAAATTCCCGTTTGGTTCGTTACACTGACTTTCGCGCCAAAAAACCCACCTCCTCTTCTGCAGCTATTTTATAAAACTTGTATCAATAAATCATTATTTTCTTAAAAAAAATAAAATAAAATGATGTTTTACAGACTAAAAGTATATACTGGCTTTAAATAACCTCCAAGGATTGATAAGCCGTAAAAAAACGAATCAATCAGTCATTTTCTTACTTTTCTTCTTTCTTTATTTCTTTCTGTCTCTTTTTTTTCTTCATTTCAATATTCCCGCGTTGTTTTCTTTTCTGTCTTCTAACATCGTTTCTGTTTTCTTTTTCTTCCTTTATTCTTTTTCTCTTTCCTTTATTGTCTTTTCTTTCCTTTCTTCTTTTCTTTTTTTTTCTTTTTATTTCCATCCATCGAGTCTTTCCTTCCTGCTTTGTTTTTTTTTCTCCTTCTTTCATTCTGTATTTACTTTTCTTTTCACATACACCATATTTTGATACCTAATGCCCTCCCTACTTCCTGCTTTTTTTTATTTCCTTCGTTTTCCTTCAGTTTTTTTCTTTATATAACTTTTGTCTTCTTTTATTCTTTCATTTCGTCTCCTTTCTATTTTTTCCTTCTTCCTTCCGTCCTTCTTTCTTAACTCTCTTTTCTCTTTCCTTCTTTTCGCCTTTTCTTTCCTTTTTTTTTCATTTTTTTCTTCGTTTCTTTCCTCTGTTCCTTTTTATTAGTTTCCCCTTACTTTCTTTTTTTTTTATTTCCATTCATCGACTTTCCTTTCCTTGTTTACTTTCTTTCTTTTTGTCTTCCATTCTTTTCCTTTTAAACACATTTCTTCCTCCATTCCCTTTTTTTTTTTTTTAAATTCTGGACTTTATTACTTCCGTTTTATTAACTTATTGGTCCGTCTTCCTGTCCTTTTTCTTTATTCATTTTTTTCTCCCCTTCATTTAATTGTTGCCCTTCTTTTCTTCTTTCTCTTCACTTTCTTCCTTCAGCGCTTTTTCTTGCTCAAGTGTTCCTTCCTCCTCCTCCTCCCTCCCTCCCAATTGCTTCCTTCCTTCCTCCCTCCCTCCCTTCCTTGAAATCTGCATGCTTTTAATTGCCTGCTTCCTACACATTCTTTTTGTTGTTGATGTCGTTTGTTAGTTGCACCAGATTCTCATCATTATCAAGGAGGAAATGCAAAGGACAGTCGGTTCGCCCATCATTCAACACTTTCAATGGCGGCTCAGGCTTCTGTACTTCGCTCATTAAGAGGAAGAAAAAAAAAAAAAGACATAGCCAAAATACTTTCTCTCACACACACACACATATATATATATATATATATATATATATATATATATATATATATATATATATATATATATATATATATATATATATATATATATATGTATATAAGCTTTAATTTTTATTGTTTCGTCATTTATTTTATTATGACAAAAAACATGACTACAAGTGAAACAAAATATACCATGTCCACAAAAAAAATCATTATAAGTAAAACAATACCTCAATCAAAAGAAATGGAAAATAATTTTTTTTAAATTCCTAAAGACGAAAAAAAAAACAAATAAAGTTTCCTAAAGAAGTTGTTGACTGAATCTTCCGTGCGGGAAAAATGTTGGTTGATTAGGTTCGTTCAGGAATAATAGCCCAATGGTTATAGCATCAAACGTGGAAGGAGAAGGTAGATTCTTCAGAATTAATATTAGTCTGTTCGGAAAGTACTTGCGTATTTTCTGGCTCTGATTTTTTGAGTCAACCAACCATGGAAAAATCATGGTTGTCTGCAACGAAACTGTGTTTAGAATTAGTTTATCATCTCTGCTGTTAGGCTATTCAGAAAGTAATTACGTTTTTCATCGCTATAAATTAGGAGTAAACCAAACTATTTGCATTACATCAACGGAGATCGGACCCTGAACTACGAACAGGCACCATGAATGAATGGCCTCCATGTCTATTTGTTCCATTATGCTCATATCTATCTATCTATCTATCTATCTATCTATCTATCTATCTATCTATCTATCTATGTCAGTCTATTCACTATCTATCTATCTATCTATCTATCTATCTATCTATCTATCTATCTATCTATCTCAGTCTATTCACTATCTATCTATCTATCTATCTATCTATCTATCTATCTATCTATCTATCTATCTATCTCAGTCTATTCACTATCTATCTATCTATCTATCTATCTCAGTCTATTCACTATCTATCTATCTATCTATCTATCTATCTATCTATCTATCTATCTATCTATGTCAGTCTATTCACTATCTATCTATCTATCTATCTATCTATCTATCTATCTATCTCAGTCTATTCACTATCTATCTATCTATCTATCTATCTATCTATCTATCTATCTATCTATCTATCTATCTATCTCAGTCTATTCACTATCTATCTATCTATCTATCTATCTATCTATCGATCTATCTATCTCAGTTTATTCACTATCTATCTATCTATCAACCTAGTAATCTGATTCATTTTTGTATTTATGTCAGTCTGTTAATATATATCACAGTCTGTTGGTATCTATCTATCTATCTATCTATCTATCTATCTATCTATCTATCTATCTATAAACCTAGTAAACTAGGTTTTGTACTGGCCAGACTGAGAGCCTATAGCTGGCTGCCGCGAATAGGCAGGAAGTTTCTATTGGCCAGCGTGAGAGCCAACAGCTGACTGACACGAATGTTTAGTAGCATGCAAAAAAAATCGATAGCTGCATACGTCACAAGTCGAAAAAATTTAAATCTGCATGGCACTTTACTCCAATTGGCTCATTCGATTGCTTAAACTCAACGTTGGTTCTGATTCTGCAGAATTGGGTTGGGTGTGAAAAAGTATTTGTTGTTAACATTCTTTTTTCATTCGGTTTTTCCAGTTACGAGTCCTTTTATAAAGCTGATCGTTTTGTGTTCATTTTGTTTAGTTCTTTTTTCGTAACAGATTTAATGTTTACTATAGAGCTTAGAAAAAATTCGCAGTGTGAGATAGGCAAGAAGTAAGGCATGTAGCATCATCAGCACAGCAAAGAGCACTTCTTTAAAGGCAAGGAAGGGCAAAAATATTTTAAGTCAAGTGATAGCGATTGCTGTATGAGTCGTACGATTTTTGAATCAAGCGCGACCACCGCCGGGCCATGCTGCTAGTGAATGATAAAGATGTAATCTTATTATATGTTTATTACTTATCATTCAGGGTGGTCATCGTTGTTTCGTTTTTTAAAGATGATTACCCTGTACAAGACTCAAGAGCCACTCAAGGTAGATATTAGTGAGTAACAGGCACAGTTTATGAGTACATGTGATGAAGTTAAGGGTTGAATCTAAACAAGAACTGTTTATATTGTAGTGACCAGGGACGCATCCACTTGGGAATCATATCCACAAAACAGCGGTTCGTGGGAAGAAGCTGCCCGTGTGGAACTTACAGCTTACCACTGGAATACGAATGGTTAGAGATTGGTTCGCTACAATGTGTAGATCTTAGCCGTGAATGGTTTGAACAGGTGAAACTAAGGAATGTTGGTTCGTCTGAACGCTCTCCATGGAAATAGCCAACTAGCCGCGATGTTTCGTCTGTTGGAAAGGGGTTGTAGGGTGGGAAATAATTCATCACACACAAAGACGCAGAGACTCTATCGAGACTGGAAAGTGAAGATTGGGCAGTTCCTGTCCATACATGGCGGCAGTCGTCGGCCTGATAAAAAGATAGAGGGTAGGAAGATGAGTCGGGGACTTACTGCAGTGGAACAGGGACTGTTATTACAAAAGCAACTGTGCATTTCAACAAAATGAAAGAATGTTGTGTTATTAGTATCGCTATGAGAGACGACCCACTTCAAACAATATTTTAGAAAATAATTATTAAACTGAATTCATGCTCATGTGATGATCACTAAAATCACTGCGCTATGGGAGGAGATTCTATTTTTCACTAGTCTTCACTTTTCACCCTATTT